ATCACACACCACTCATCTCACACCACCCATCTCACACCACTCATCACGCACAACTCATCACACACCATTCATCTTACACCACTCATCACACACCACTCATCACACACCGCTCATCTCACACCACTCATCACACACCACTCAGCACACACCACTCATGACACACCACTCATCACCTACCATTCATCTTACACCACTCATCACACACCACTCATCACACACCACTCATCACACACCGCTCATCACGGGCCACTCATCTCATTCACTTCTATCGTCCAGTATCTTTCCGTCCTCTTTTCTTATCAGTCTCTACTTCTCGTTGATAGTTCTTGCAAGCTTGGCATGTGGGGTTATCCGGTCCTTTTATTTTGATTCTGTTTGTGTGTGTGACTTTCGCTGCATCGAAGGAGATCAACAACGACCTCACGTCAGCTCCTGGGGAAGCGCTGTGCCAAAAAAGAGTCAATTTGATTCAATTTGTTGACCGCACTTGAAGAGATTCACAAAAGGAGCCAGGCAGGCTTTGGGCTAGGTGAGCTAGAGGACAATTCATGAATCATCACCTGACAGGAAGATACCCCCTTTCTGCTAAAAAGGTCGGTCAGACGGTCACACCATTGTTGTTGGATGAATCTCAAAACAGGTGGTAGAATAGACCGCCAATCAATTTGGCGGTACCATCCAATAGGTTTTGCAGGTTTTTTTCGGTCCCGAACCACCCGACCGTGGTCTCCTGAGGTCGGTGGTGGCAGCGCTCCAAAGCTCCGGAACCATGGGAGCTTCGGCTCAGAGAGTGGACGGGGAGGAGGTCGTTTTGGAGGGTTCACAAGGAAGAGAGATTGCTTTCAGATCGTGTGACATGTGAATTCAGGATTCATGATGATTCATGATGATTCATGATTCATCCAAATTCCTGACAGGGCAGATAGGCAGATGGGGGAACGAACTCGATTGCAGGACAAAAGCGCATCTCGCTTTGACAGTGAGTGACCTCCTTCCAAACCAAGCTGGCTGAACTTCCCAGTCAGACCTTTCTTGCTTGGGTCACCTCCCACCGCGCAATGGAAGCGCCTTTTCGTTCGCGGCGAGGTCATTCCCCGACGGCCGCGGGCAAGAGCATCCCGCACGACTTTAGGCACAGCTGATTGGGTGAATCTTCCAATTGGTGGGTAAGTATGTCCAATCAGCCCTCTTCCAATCTTCACAGCTAATCCTAGTGTTGCCAGCCGATTTTGTAGGCATGTTCAAGAGGCGGGACTTTGCTTCTTGTCTTTTATGAAGGGGAGCTCTGGAACATTGGCTAGCGGCTATGGGTGCCAAGCAGATTGGATCCGCAGATTCTGTGGGGTCCGTAGAGTCCTGTAGTCTATTTGTCTTATCTGCTTGAGCCCCGCCTTGCCTTGACGCGTCAGCTACAGTCTGATGACATCAGGCTGCCCGACTTGCGTATTGCCATCGTCAGCCTGTGTGTCGGCGGCCCCAGGGCCACCGGAGGCTGTCTTGGGTCCTCTCCTTCGCCACAAACGCTCATGCAGATTCAGATTCGGCGAGCTTCGAGCTTTGGAAGGATCTAGAACCCCCCAAAACCAAGGCTGTGATAGTTTAAGCTTGGTTGTTTCTTTCATTGGCATCGAGCTCCATACAAGAGTGAGCTGGTGTGGAATGAGCGGCTCAAGCTTTAGAAAAACATGAAACATAAAATTGAAGGTTTGTCGATCTACCATCCTGAACCCTGTTCATGCAGCAGCATATAGATTCTGGAATGCACACCACCTGACTCCTTCCTAAACTATATAATGCCCCTTTCCTACTCTGCCTGAAACCCTCGAGAAACGTCGGCAGTATCTACTGCAGCAAAAACAACAAAGGCCCTACAGCAGTATCCTTCTCATCAGACTTCATCAGACGTCATCAGACCCCCGACCGAGCCACGCTAGAAGGATGACTAGGACGAACGCAAAGGCCAACGTCAGCCAACGGCCTCAGACATTTCAGAGACAGTAGATTCTGTAGATGGGCAGACGCCTGCGCAGCTTGCCATGTCGCAACCCCAGTCCATGCAGGAGCATGACTAGCACCATCTAGCACTGCTGGCAGTGCAATTCACTGTTTTGTAGCTCATAGTGTCATACAAAGGCCTCCAGCCTTTGCTTTGGCTTCTCAGAATGGACTTGCTGAATTTGTTGAACCGATGAGCATTTGTTGCTCTGGGTCTACTGGAATCTATGCAGGGATGTCCACAAAAAAATGGAGTAAAAGCAGACTGATGAACATCTGCTTCTAAGCTGCTCAGCAATGAACACAATGTTTGTTCTTTTGGACGCCAACAGGTAGTTTACTGTAACAGGAAGAGCAGTTGAAGATTTGTTGATGGACAACATCCTGCAATTGGGATACCTGAAACCTCAATTGATTCCCGTACGCAAAACCAAGTGAGAACTAGAACCATTAATCTCTCTGTGATACGCAATTCCAGAGTTGCGCACTTGTTATTTTTCAGAGCACATACGGCAAGACGGGAGGCTCGTTTCAAGTGACAAAACAATTGGGATGTGAGGCCAACAGATGTTGGGGATCTGAACGGATTTTGGGGACTTAAGCGAGTTTATCATGTATTTAAACAAATCATAGAACAAACCACATGTTCCAATCTTCAAACTTGAGGCCGCTCTGCCCTCCAACCTAGAAGCGATGGGCTTAAGTTGACATGTTCAAGGATTTTTGGGGATTTGAAGGGATTTACTAGGAACAAGAAGCTACTAGGGGCTCCTGGCAGTACTACTAGGAGCAAGGGCTCCTGGCATCGCTACTAGGAGCAAGGAAGCTACTAGGGGCGGCACCAGGACTTGGAAGCGCTCAGTGCCGGAGAGATACGACGACTGCTGACGCGAGAGGGTGTGAGCCTCCCGACGTGGAGGGTTCGGATGGTGAAGGCGGTTTGTCGTTCGATTGGATCCGGTCAGCCTCAGTTTGCCTGGTACAGAAGCAGTGATCATGCGATAACCAAGGTTCTTTCTTCTTCTTCTTCTTCTTTTTGCTTTTTGTCTTCTTATTTTTCCCCACATCTTAGTGTGGGGTTCTTCTTTTCTATGTCTCATCCCGCTTCCCGCCCGCTTCCCGCCTCCGCCTCCGCCACACACACCGAGGCAACAGACACCGAGACAACACAGACAGAGATCACACAGACAGAGACACACACACAGAGACCACACACACCGAGACAATACATACAGAGACAACACACACCGAGACAACGCAGAGATCACACACACAGAGACCACACACACAGAGACCACACTTCGAACTTGGTTTTCAGTTAGACTCAATTGCCACGTTGGGAAGGAAGGTGAGGGAACGGAAAGGTGCATGGGTCAGCCAAACAGTATTGTTGAACAATGTTTCCGAAAGCGCTCAAGTGAAAGTTCAGCAGCTGCAGTGCGGTGGGAAACCTGTTTATGGGGAAGGATCACATGAAACACCATGAATCAAACCAAAAGAGTGGACAGCATGTGCAAAAGTTCATTGAGCAGGTACACAATGCGGCGTCCCGCATTGCTTCACCACGAGCTGACAGCGTCTTCGTTGGGCAATGTCTGTCAGTCGTGCATCGCCCCCCTGCCTCTGTTACAGTGGAAAGGTGAGAACGTGGAAAACCCTTAGAACCAGGGTGTGACACACACAACACGCCGTTATCGGCGCACAGTCCAAGCGGTGAAGAAAACGGACCTTTTTTCTCAAAAACCGCCTGCACGCATGCAGGTCGTGCCCTTTTTGGGCGTACAGGTGGACCAGGGCTTCAGCCGCAGCGGTGGCGTTGTGGGGTGGAAAAGTGTATGTATAGATGGAGTGAAGTCTGGAAGCTAAGCCGGACAGAGCCAAGCGCTGGCTACCGGCGCTGGCGTGGTCCCTGATTTTCCAGGGTTGGGTGGGTTGTATGTAGGTGATGGTGCGTTGCTGGAGGTCAATGTTGAAACCCAGAAGGTGGAAGTCATCCACCGTCTCCAATTCGACGGGATCGCCGAAAAAGTTGTTGTGGATGAGAGTCTGGATGGCGGGATGTGAAAGGAAGTGTTCATTGTGGACAATGAAGCGGTTGTCCACGTAGCGGTAGTATGTGAAATGGAGAGCAGTGTGTTGAAGGAGATTGATGTGGAGCTGGTGCCAGGAGTGTTCGATGAGAGTGATGGCATCGTTGAGAGCTGGGAGCCAATCCCAGCCCCCCGGATTTGCTTGTAGGTGTTGTTGCGTGCCCGGAAAATACAGGTGTCGAGTGCGTATGCCACAATGGTTGTAATATCGGCAGTATGAATACTGCGTTGTGTAGGGTGGCATCGGTGATGCCTGCCAATATGGGAGTGATGGAAAGGATTGCCGGTGGCTTTGGTGTCAACTGTGAGGGTATGGGTGTGGTTCTGGCGTTGCCATTGCTGGATGAGGGAATGGACGGCGTCAATCAGGCGGTGCTGTGGAACTGAGTTGAAAAAGCCAACAAGATCATCATTGGTGGCGTGTAGGGGAATGTCTGGTGGGGTGTCGGTGAGGTAGCAGTGAAAGTGGGACCACAGTTGTGGAATTGAAAGTTGACCTGGATGCTGGGGGAGGAGGTGTTGCAGGATAATGTCAAGGGCTCGGCTGGTAATGCGGAGGAGATTGCCGCTCAGGGACTGAAAGTACGAGATAATGGCGCGGCCTTTTCTCCACTGTTTCTTCTCCTTGAGGTGAACGATGCCGTATGGTATCGTAAAATCTTTCCTGAAGCCCCATTTGTAGCGTGTGCGGAGGCTGGGGGGGATGGTGTGTGTCAGGTATTCGTGGATGTTGGACGGTTGGAGTGTTGGCATGGGTGCAAAGAGTTCCGGTGACTGCCAGGTGGCAAGCGCCCCGGCGAAGTATTGGCGGGGGCAGAAAATGCGCAGCTGTTGCAGTTCGTGGTCAGCATGGTGAAGGACGACTTGATCGCCTAGGAATTCCTGGAGCTGCCGAAGAAGACGAGCCGTGAAGCGGGGTTGATGTTTCAAATGGTCAGTATGGAGCCTCCATTGGTGCTGGAGGAAGGGTTCCAAGTGCTGTGTGAGTCAGGGTGGAAGGCCTTGGATGCGCAGCCATTTGGTGAAAGCAGTCTGGAATGAAAGGAAGTATCTGGCCTTGCTGGGGTAAAAAGTGCTGTTCATATTGGCTGCCAGGAAAATGCGGAGGTGCGGTGGTAGTGCGAGTTGTTCAAGGGTGAGGATGTAGTGGCTGTCGATTGGGGGTGTAGTCGGATCAAGTAGAATGGTTTTGAGGTGGTCGCATGCACATGGCAAGTCACTGGAGGTCGGAGGGTTGGGTAGCGTACCCTCCCAGGTGCGGTGGTTGTGCAAATGGGCCCGGAGAGTCTTGTGGGCTGCTTCCCGCAGACGATGAGTAGGTAAGTGAAGCGGGATGGCCAGGTGTTTGTGGTGCTGTATTGTGGTCTTGAGCCACTGTTCACAGTGTTTGGGAGACTGGTCGTGGGCCAGAAAAGGTATGGTGAGGGGGATGTTGGGCTTGGGTGGACTGAGGTTGCGGTACTGGAGGGCTTGGTTGATAATGTGGAGTGCTCTGCTGCGACCAGGCTCTTCCAGGTTGGAGGCCATTCGTCGGATGGCGTAGACCTCAAGGTCGGTATGTTTGCCGCTGCGCAGTTGTTTGGCTGCTTCAAAAGAGGCCAAGGTGTGTTTAGTGAGATCGCGAAGGAGAGTGAGGGAATGGAGTCGAGTGGAGGTGAAGAGATGTGGTTCGTGAATGGCATGTTGCCGTCTGCGGAGCTTGCGGAAAAGTCGTTTGTGGGTTGCCAGGCGGGAGGAGCGCGGTGTTTTGTAAACTGCCATCCTTGAGCTTTGAGCTTGAGGTGGTGGGAGATGAAGGGCCAATTTAGTGGCGGCATCCAGTTGGAAATGAGGCAGTGTTCTTGGATCCAAGCCTGGTCGTAGGTATCGTGAGAGGAAAGTTGAATGGGTGTGAAGTGGTGGATGTTGTTGTGAGAATGCCAGTACCGAAGAGATAGTTCTGCTGAAATGGGAATGTTGTTTTGCAATTGTTTGAGTTTCGCCCGACGGTTGTGTTCCCTGTGTGGGATGCCAATGCCGGTAGAACCGATATAGAAATGGCCATGCTGGTGGTAGCAGCGGTGTGGTGTGGCGGGGTTGAGGTAGAGCTTGACATAAACTGCGTTGGAAGAAAGAAAGTTGTGGTAATGGTAAGTGTGGGGTTGTATGTGGAGATGCTGAAGTCGCTGACGCCATTGCTTGGAGCGTTGGGTGGAGGAAGGGTAGCAAAACAGAAGTGTGAGGTGGATGAGGCCCACAGCAAAGAGGGCCTCGGCACGTTCGATGTATTGGCTGTAGTGGATGAGTGTGGAAAGTGCTTGGTGTAAGTGGAAAAGTTGGTGGAGTGTAGTTTGGTGCGGCTGGTGTTGGCTGGTCAGGGCTAGTCAGCATGCGATGGCAGC